GTCCTCTACTCGGTCAACCCACCAACTCGCATCGAGTCCTGGCAGTGATATACGAACACGTTTACACATCTACGCATACATCTACACCTCGTCCTCTACTCGGTCAACCCACCAACTCGCATCGAGTCCTGGCAGTGATATCCCGATGTGCTCGCGGGACACACGCAGTCTCTGTAGCGAACTCCGTTCCAATGCACCTGACTGCGGCATGAGCCTCCGTTCTTGCAAGGATTCGGCGTGCATATATCTGCATGAGACGCATATGGTTGGCATTCGTACTCAGAAATAATTATTTTGACCGCGGTTGAATTAATTATGTGTAAGAAGGCCTCCAATTGGGCAAAATAGCCATAATTTAACCGCGATTGAATTATGATTCGATTGATTCGATTAATATTTCTACCGCGCGGTTAACTTATGTGTAACACAACCTCTGATTGGGTAAAAGGCCAATAATTATTTCTGGAGTACGACGGCCAACCATAGACGTAAGTGACAAGCTAGTGCTGGCTGCCTGAGCAAGCCATCGGCTCCAAATGTAAGCTAGTATGATGGGGTCTGTAGGGATGTGCTGTGGTGGGCTCAGATGCCGGCAGGCGTGGTCGTATAAAAGCTATGCGAACGAAGCGCAAGCTAGTACAGGGGCGAATATATAGTTGTAAAAATACGGACTCGAGTAGTTAAATGCGTAGTCGAGTCTCTTGCAATAAGACCGATGCAGAAGTTGGTCTAGTCCTGAGCATGTCAGTCGCAGGCTGCTACACGACCGGTGACCACGATATTAACACGATGTATTACATAATGCATGTCACAGCACACATGACGTCACCGCTATGCGGGGTTTATACTTGTTACGATGGCAACGTAGCTGACCGCTGACGGTAGAGGGGCCACGTGATAATTATGTTACCATACGCAGCATATTTTATATTACCACGCGCATTGCATCGCAGGCATAATGACATTGCATTCCATTACACGAACACAGTACGTCAATTATTAAAATCCAATGACAATAAAAGCATTAGCATCCACAGAGCACGTATATTATTATACACGTATGATATGCACGCATCGTGAGCACGTATATGTTTAAAAAATCTAAAGACTTAAGATTCCTAAGACTAAATATTTTGCACACAGGGAGAAGGCCGGTAATGATAGGGCAGGTAAGACATACGGAAAGAGAAAGCGAGATAGAGACACACACAGAAAAAGTGTGAGAGAGAATGAGGGAGGAGAGAGATAGGAGGAGAAGGAAGTGAAAGAGAGAGGGGAAGGGAGGAAAAAAGGGAGAAAGTGATAGGCTATGCAAAATAAATAGGGAGAAAGCGAAGGAGAATAGGTGGAAGGGAGGAGACTGCGATTCATTCTTTGCTCTCATAATCTCGCGTTAAACAATCAAACACTTACACGCACGTAGGCACGCACGCACGCACGTAGACACGCAAGCACGCACGCATGCACGCACAAACACTTACACGCACGTAGGCACGCACGCACGCACGTAGACACGCAAGCACGCACGCACAAACAGTTACACACACGTAGACACGCACGCACGCACGCACGCACGCACGCACGCACAGACACGTACACGCACGATATATGTAAATCGTGATGATGACGAAATTTGTGTTTCCGTTAAATCTTTACCGCTAGTATAATCAATCAATACAATTCAACGAATCGTTACGATATAACAATTTCCATACTATTTACGGTCATACGGTGTACCTCAATCTCTCAGGCACCCCGAGGAATATTTTACAGTGAGAAGCTGATTCGGTATGAGTGTCAATTGTATCGTACTTGCCGTACTATCGTATCGTAAACTGCTTATGCCATTTACCTATGCTACCATCACAGTGTTGTAGATATTCTGTATAACGTATAATATAATGTAATGTACATATGTGTTTCTGGAAATAAAGGACATTATAAAAAAAAATTGCTACGTACTTGTTGTAGACGTGTCGCATGCAGCCTGACACGCTGCCAGCATCGCGTAGTTGTTGCTGTTGCCACCGCAGCCGGAGTAGACGAACGGCTGACATTGCTTCTGCGTGGTGTTGTAGTGGTAGTGAACCTTGTAGTCGCTGCAGTTGCCCCGGTGCGCCTCCTTGTGGCAGCTGCCGGTACTAGCGACGCCAGTGGCGTGACCTAGGGGAGAACATCACAAACAATGACATCACGAACAATGACATATTACTCATAAATATTATGTGATTTATTATTATTGTTATTATTATTAATATTGTTATTGTTATTGTTATTGTTATTGTTATTATACTATTATATGCCCTCTTCATCCCCTGAGTGGTTTGTATGAGACCATTATATGAGACGTTATATAGACTTTGTATAAGACTTATAAAGGACTTTATAGGGCCTTCGCAACGTCATTGCCCAACGCAATGTCTGGTTTCAATAAAGGGACTCCAATAGAGACTCTACATTACCACCACCCTGCGGGAGATACAGTAGTTATAACCGCATAGCTAACTCTGACAATGTCCGGCAGTATATTAGCTCGTAGAGCATTGAGAATGCTAACTATGGCCACGTTTACCAATATAATCAACAAATAATCTACTATCAGACGTAAATAATAACTTTTATTTAAGTTTTTTTGTGTAAATCTAAAACGTTTGTTTATTGTTAATTGTTGTTAATTGTAATTGTTGTAATGCAAAAACCTCCATTGTTCGTCATTCTCATTGTTATAATTGTTGTGATTAAAATTCAATTGTTATTTAAAAAAATCATTTGATCTATTCCTGCTTGTGTGTGTATCTGCTGCTGCCACTACCCACGTAATACGCACGAAGAAAGATAGACTGCGGTAAAACAGCAACCAAGCTTGGTCAAGCGCGCAGCAATACGAATACGTTATAATAATGAGTGATTATTATAATATGTGAGCATTAAACATAATTCTGTGTAAGGTGACCTTAACCTTAAGCCTAAATTCGTGACTACCTATACGTCTACGCGTTTGTCTACGTCTACTTCTATGTATACGTCTACACCTACGCTTGTGTCTATACGTCTACGTCTGTGTCTAGGTCTACTACGTCTTCGTTTTCGCCTACGTTTATGTCTACGACTACGTCTATTTCTACGTCTAACTCTATGTCTATGTCTACGTCTATGTCTGATTGTCTACGCCTACATTCATGTCAACATTGATGTCTACATCTATTTCTACATCTAAATATACGTCAACATATACATCAGAGTACAGCCACGCCCACGCCTATACGACCACGTTTACAGATCTACGCCTACATCTACGCCTCGTCCTCTATTCGGTCAACCCACCAACTCGCATCGAGTCCTGGCAGTGATATACGAACACGTTTACACATCTACGCATACATCTACACCTCGTCCTCTACTCGGTCAACCCACCAACTCGCATCGAGTCCTGGCAGTGATATACGAACACG